CAGCATACAACCATTGCCAACTGTCTTAGAGATTAGTATCAGTCCGGCAGTACTCTCAACAAAAATCATCGAGTTTTTTTTCAACGTTCACGTTGTTCACATGAGTACGGTTCAGTAATTCCCAGTCAGTGAGTCAGATTTTGACCAATCTCAATCAGATAGCATTCAAAGATGCTTTTCGGTACCAGTATATCAACGCAATTGACTTTAAACAAGAAGGCATGTCAATCTATGTTGTCCTTTCCAGATTTGCAAACGGTATCATCCATGACTTGAGATCCTATGTGAAAAAGGGTAAGGAGGTCCATGATAATTTTGACTCGGTCTGGATTTCGGTAGTCAGGTACCTTGAAGAGAAAGAGAGAGAACTCGATGGGGACTTGAACAAAGTTGATCCGTAGCTTCGGACCGAAGCTCTACACATACTACCCCAAACCTCCAGTTCCCTTCACTCTCACTGACGGTTCTTACTGGGGAGACTTGGTAGATTTGCCAAAGAGATATATTTCTCCGGCAACGATCGATTATGAGGCAGTGACTGAGCCTTTTGAGTTTCGACATCTCAGACGAGGGATTTTCTCTCAACCATATCTTCCTACTCTATGAGAATAATTTTATGCTATGGTTGACTTACGTGGACACAGCCCAAGGGACAGGAAGCACACAGCCAAGTGAGAGATTGAGTATGTGACCTAGAGGGATGAGTGAGGACTCTTGACAGTGCTGGTCGTGTCTCTTCATGTGTACTCTCTGAGATTATTATGAGTTTTCATTTGCCATTGCTAAAGTTAGTCAGTCTTGCATCATCCACATTGTCTTTGCTTGATGATTATGTTCTCTGATGATCCTATCACAGTTTTCAAAAAATTAAAAAAATGACAAAATTGATGCATGCATGATATACCGAAATTTTATGATTATTATTTGCACGATTCTGAATTAAAATAAAAGATTTATAAGACCGGGGACCGACGGAGACCGCAATTGAAGGGTCTCGCTCGAAGCCCGACGCACACAACAGGAAGGGATTTGCTTTAATTAATTTATTTACTTAATTGCAAACATCATCAAAATCCCGCGTGACAACCTGTTGGCTTTCCAGTCGCTTGAAAAGACCCGACTGATAAAAAGTGCGACACTGCACGCCGAAGTCCCACAAGGATGACAGTCGCAAGCGTGGTCTTTTCACGAGGTGACGGTCTTCTCATGACTGCCTTGTCCTTCACATTGTCGTCCATAGTTCAAGACCCTTGGCGCCACATATATCACACAACACATACTCGCCTCCTCAACGCCGATGCAACGGTTGATGGGTGGCGTCTAGGCACTAAAAAAGGCGGGAGCAAAAACTCCAGAATAACGTTTGTGTGAAGTGCAGTGGCGGCGCAAAATTTGAATTCAAAATTGGGGACCGCGTGCGTGCCTCCTTCTCACGGGTTGATGATGTCGCGCACCAAGTATATGAGTCCGCGAGGTGTCGTCGGTAGCCATGGGGTGGAGTCCCATGGGCCCAACCCTCACAAACATGTTCTCATCCGCCAGGGCTGGGAGGCGGACATTCGGATGCCCCTCAACAGCCATGAAATACAAGTGCGCCTAAGTGTAAGGTTTTCCTAAGGGGTTCTGGAACATAAAATGGGGTAAGGGAAAATTAATCAGGTT